TTCATTGCCTTCATTAACCTCCATATTGGTGGCATAATCTAATAATTTTAAATTATGATCAATGAAAGTTATTTTACCAGCTCGTTCAGTTGCAAGCCGATTTTTTTTCGCAGTGTAAATAAAGCTGTAGGTGCTGAAGCTTCTTTCTGTTACTGCACTCGACACAGGCATACTTAGTATCTTGCCCGCTACTTTACTTAATGTCGACCCAAAACAAATCCCCTTCCACCATACAATGGGATGTAGTTTTTCCACGGATTTTAAAACATATGGTTTTCTAAATAACCCTTCTGCCATTAACTCTGCAGACTCATTTGGGCTCGTTACAGTAGCCATATTGTCTATAAACTCTATTCCTTGTATTTGTTCTTCTATTCGTCCATTAAAATTTGGATCTAGAAATATTTGCAGCAAGATGGATTGGATTTATTGCCATTTGCTTTCTCTTAACTAAAAATTTGTTTAATTTCCTTACCTCTTGATTAAGCAAAGGGCTTGAGGAAAGGGCTGTTTCAAAATGACTTTCCAACTCATAAAAGCATTCAGCTACTTGGCTTAACCTTAGTTTATCTCGTTCCAGTTGGGTTATGTATTTAACAATAGGGTTTATTGGGTGATAAAAGTTTGAAACTTTTAGCCAAAAAATATCCTCATCCAATATCAACTTTGCAACTCGTTTACTGAGTATATCTTCAACTGTTTTACAAACTTCTAATTTTAAGGAAATGGCTGCTTTGGTGTCATTTCTTCCTGCTTGTATTTTTTTAAAGTAGCCGATAAAATGTGAGAATTGTGAATTTCTTTGATGACAGCCTTAACATATTCCATAATAGTAGACATGGTTTTCATTTTAGAAATGTCTTTAATTAACAAATTTAGCGTATGAGCAATGCATCCATAAACAGAAATATGTTTGTACTTTTCATGAAGTATATTTCTTGTTTTAACCATTGCACTGGCATTGTTGGTTACTATAGCATAGAATTCTTCGCAGGGTTTCGTGTGGTAATAATGTTAAGTGTGGATTCGTTCCTGTGGTTGCTCCAACCATCAGACTGTAAGCTAACAGCAATCGCTTCTCCAATTTTCATTTTATTGTCTGTATCAACTTTTTTATATTCGGAGTCCAGTAATTGATAATAAATAACGTGTAGGCATTTTGAAAGATGGTCTCCAATGTTTGAAAAATGATTCCCAGTAGTGGTGGAACGGATATCCGGCAACTATCCGGCTTTGGCCTATAACCTATTACTTAGTACTCCACCATTCACAGGAATTAGTATCTCTTTTAGGTATTGGACTCTGCAGATAATAATCAAGTTCAACCCCAGTAGAACTTTTTCTTTGAATATAACTTTATATTTGTCATAAGCACCTCATTGTAACAATCCCAATACGATATATAAAATCTCTTGTTGCAGTTTTGTCTAGTTTTCTTCTCTTTGCTTGTAATTCTTCATCACATTCATTACTAACAAAACTGCCGCTGTTATCACTTTCGATCATTAATTAAAGTATCCTCTTTTTAATGCAAAAAGCCGTTTTGAAAAATCACTTTCAGTTCTTGAGAAATAAATTTTTGAAATGATCGACATTTTTTTCGAATTTTTCAATTTTTGCCAATTAAGTTTTAAAAATTCGTATAAAACCCATTTCTTGGAATATGATTTTGAAAATTTTCCAAAGTGTTAATAAGAGTGTCTTGTTTTCAATGAACCAACACGTTTTGAAAAATAACTTTTTGTTTGTCAAAAACAATATTTTTGAAGTTTTGATAAAATTTTCGATGTTGCAATTTTCATCGATAACTTTCAAAATTCGCTATAGAATTCATTTCTTGTAGGATCCTTGCTGAAATATTGCCAATTATTAATTAAAGTATCCTCTTTTTAGAGTTGCTTCGTTAGTTAAATCATCATCAAAAAAATTCATTTTGTATCTTGGATCCAAATAAGCTGACATATCTTATCAGGTTTCTTATTAATTTTATTTTTCGCAATAAATAAAAGTATCACTTCAGAAATGTAGCAGAAATTATAACCGTAATGGCTGTATAGATATGCTGAAATCCGGCTTTTCGCAAAATCACTATCCGTTCCATCCTTAATTGATTATTTTCAACAATGGCAAATGGAGTACCTATAGCATAAACAGCCCTAGCTAATAGTTGATCTAGCTTCTGTTGTTCAACTTTTGATGAAACATCAATAAAACTCGATAATATTCTTATGACAATATTCTTCTCTTTCATCTCTAAATTTGTAAAATGCTGTTCTTTTTGAAGATGTTAGCGAAATGTGAGTTTTGTTGAATATATCAGACTTCTTCCTGTTTACCCAATGTAAGAACGTATACCTTAAGAATACTTTCTAAGAAGGTTTCTGGTCGGTGCTGAAATTTTAAGCGTAACCGTTTAGTGTGCTAATAACATTACTCGTTAAATTTACCCCACGCGGTGTTTATAATGTAGAGCGGTGCCGGAGTTTGTAATTTAAATTGGTGGGTACGAGCGCACACACATACACACGCCACCAGCGACTGCGGCAACGGCGGCATTTTATCGGCCCGATAATCTGTTATTGTTGCTCATTAATGTCGAAATGATAGTTATTATGTTTGCGAATGTCGGCCAATTTTATCGGGTTATGTATCGAAAATTGAATGCTGACTTCTACCCTTTTACCAATTATCCTGCGTTTTTTGCATTATTTTTAACCCAAAAAAAAAGAGATTGAATGAGATTAATTAAAGAATTTACGGTAAATTTATTTAAGACATTAATTGAATATTTATAATGTTGGAGAAAAAAGATTTTTCTTGTCGGGTTATTTCGTTTATGGGACTGTGGAATTCTTGGTATGCGCTCAGCGGTCGCCCACTAAATTAATACAAGAGGATATATTTCTTGAGGTGCCCATTATAAGCAACACCTACATCACTTTTGACAGTCCCCCGTGAAGGGGGGCAATGCGCCCCGCTGTTCGACCTATTAGGGCCGCACTGTATCATGCGAACGGGGCTCAGAATTAATATATTACGCATAATTGGCTACTTAAGGGACTCGGCTAAATTATAATTGATGGGATCGTTTCTATTTTACCCTTTCGGTTTTTGTGCTTACAAAATTTAAAAGTATGTAAAACGGAAACCGGAAAAGTAAAACTTTCTATCGTTCTACAAAACTTCCGGAAAAAAGCTATATCATTATTGCTTTTGTTAACATTTAAATTTTGAACGTCACGGCTGAGAAAGCTCCTCCTCGCCGGATGTACATAAACGTTAACGCTAACTTTAGCAAAAATTAATGATGACCAAGCTGCGTTTAAATGAAACATAAACATTTGATATGAAAAATATAAACACATTTTGAAACGTTTAGTTTCTTATGAATGGCGACGTTATCTTCTCGTTTTAATCTGTTGAGATTTCTTTTTGTAAATTCCAAGATGTTCCTTGTAATAAAAAAGGTGTATTCCTGACGAAAGGTGAACAAGTTACAGCATAAAAATAGTTGAAAATAGAATAAAATAGGGTAAAACGAGCAGAGACCGCGTAAACTTTTCTCGCTCCGGGTGCAATCAACGTCTCGATTCAGACGACCTCTAGAAGCGGCGCCAAGTGAGACGGCTCGACGCCGATTGACGCCCGAGGGAAAGCGTCGGGACGCACGCCGTCGACAGAGTTAGAGAGAGAGAGAGAAAGAGCCAAGGGGGACGACGACAGCTAATGAACCCGGGTAATCAATTACGTGTACCTATAAATTCTCAATCCGGATCGAGTTATACGTCCCATTGTCACATGACAATGACTTAATCTGTCGAACCGAGAGAATTGCCGGACGTAGACCAAAGTGAAGAGAGAATGAGATAGAGATTGATTAGAAGAGATGGATGAAAATCAATCGGTTCAATTGATTTTCCTTCGTTGGGTTCTGTACCACGAAATCAATTGAAGATAAACAACTTTTCGTTTTCTTTTAGTTTCTTCTTGTGGTTATTGTAGCTCGCGAGTTAATCGCGAGTGTGTTCCGATTGATTTCGATCGGGGTTGGGGCAAAGAAACCGGGGTAGAGAAGAACCGCTCGTTCCAATAACAGTTTTAAATTGAGTCGGGTTTTAAATTTCTTGTTCGGTTCGATTTAATCCGGGTAAGAGCACGGTTTCTTTTCCATCTCTCTTTCTCCTCTTCAGCCTCCCCCTTGTTTTATGTTATCATCTATTACAGAACGGCTCTTCGAAAAGAAACGAAGGGAATGGACCAAAAAGGACTAGCGTTTAATGAGGAGGACATAAAAATTTAAATTGAATTTCTTGTTTTCATACACTGTAGTTATTACATTTTTACCAAACGAATTGAAATTTCAAAACACATTTTTTCATTGCGGTTTAACCATCAAATAAAAAATAATATAATTAATATATCAATATAATTTAATATAAATGTTATGCTCATAGATAAAATCCAACTCGGGTTATTCCCCAAATTGCTCTATTCCATATTCATATACAGGATGTTTCTGTAAGTTGTGGCATAATGTTAATAACAAATTCTAGAGTAAAAATGATGTCAATTTGTGTAAAAATATTTGGTCTAAACCCATAAATGGTTAAGATATGAGCCTTCAGAGTTAAGAAATTTTAAAAACATTTTCTTAAATCTTTTCAATATGGTTTGTTTTAGAAAGATAAAATTAGGCAAACAGTGCAATGTTATCATGAAAATATGCAACCACGGGAACAATGCTATACAGAGTGTTCACTAAGGTTATTTCTTTAAAACTTTTATATTATATCGTAAACCCTTAAAGTTGGGTTTATACAGAATTTAACTGTAAATTTAAATTTAAAAATTTAAATTTAAGAATTTTATTTAGCTTTAAGAAAAAAATTGTTTTATGCAGACAATTATTTAATTTAACATTACAGCGTCTCCATATTAAAAAACAAAATATACTAGTTCGTTCTGTTATTGAGTGCTAGCTAAATTGCTTTTACAAGATTATGGATAAGAAAAAAGTAAGTGCCGTTGGTATTTGTTTATCCGCTGCCGAAATGTTAGTCGTTAAACTGAAAGAAAAGAAGCAAAGAAAAAAGCGACGTTTTGGGAGGAGACCTATGAATAGAAATCGGGATAGTGAGGGAAAAAGATGATGAACAATTTGTTAAATACACCAGGATGAATATACAACAGTTTAAGTCCTTACTTGGATTAGCAGCCCCATTGATTAAAAAAACATCACACCAAAAACCCTCTGTCACCTGCACATCGATTAGTGATTACTTTGCAATAAGTGATAAATATTTTTGATAAATAAAATTCTTCTCTTAAAAACCAAAATATTTTTTATTTATTTATCAGAGGGTTCTTCACAGCAAGAAGTGGCATGGAACTTTAAAATTGGGAAGACTACCGTACACTGCATCATTAAAGAAACTACAGAAGCAATTTATAAAGTATTACAACCTTTGGTATTATTAGAGCCCACCAAGGAAACTTTTACTGCAATTGCGACAGATTTTTTTAATAAATGGCAATTACCAAATTGTTCTGGTGCAGTGGATGGCAAGAACATCTACATCCAAGCGCCAAAAAATGGAAGTCTGTTTTATAATTATAAACAATCATTTAGCATTGTTTTAATGGTAGATGCAAATTATAAGTTTTCAATGGTGGACATTGGTGTTTATGGTTCCAATCATGATGGCGCTATATTTATGGAAAGTGTTTTTGGAGCAGCACTGTTAAATGGAAATTTAAACCTTCCACTACCAAAAGAATTACCGGGAACAAATGTTGTCTTGCCTCATTTTCTTGTAGGAGATCAAGCATTTCCACTACATGAGAACATTATGAGGCCATATCCAGGACAACATTTAGGGGTTGAAAAAAATATCTTCAACTACAGAATTTCCAGAGGTAGGAGAGTAGTTGAAAATATTTGGAATTTTAACAGCGCGATGGTGTAAATTGTGTGGTAGTTCTGCACAATTTTTTACAAGGAGACAAACAATATTGCCCCACTGGATTCGTAGACACAGAAACATTAATAGGAGATGTGGTTCAGGGGAAGTGGAGAGAGGATGGTGCAGTTTTGCGCTGTCTTGGAAACAATAATTTTGCACGGCGATACCAAACAAATAGAAATATATTGTGCAATTATTTATTACTTAAAGCAAAATTCTCTTAAATCTTACAGCTTTGTATAAACGATATATGGAGTTTCAATACATTTAACTTTTACAGCTAAATTTTTAATTTTAAATTTAAAGCTAAATCCTCTGCATAAACCACCTTAAATTTTTCAACTGATTCTAAAAGCTTATTTCTTTATACAATTATTATTCCCACTCTTAGAGGTTTTTGATTAGACGTATCGTTTTCGAGTTATTCGCAAAAAGATACAACCTCGTTTTTGAAATACTGTCATTAATCGTAGGCCCATGAAAACAAATCGTAAGAAAAGCAATATGTCAGGTTATTATCCAACCCAGCGTAAAATTTGGATTTTATTCAGTCCAATTGAGCACTTCAAAAGAGTAGCATCAATACTACATTTTCCGATCATAGTATGGAAAAACTGTACTCGCAACACATGATCAGCAATATTTAATTCTTGCACTGTCGACAAGTGGTATGGATACATTTGCTGTTCGTGTGAGATACATCAAACCGTACTTTTTGATATTCCGAAATGTCTTATGTAATGTCTTTATATCAACAGTACTAGCACACAGTGGTCTAAATTCAAAAAACCCGAACAAAAATATTTTAACGCAGTTTGGGTTGAGATAATTGTTTGAAACTTGGTATGTGGCTATAGGACTATATGCTAAAGACTTTGTGAACTTTTGGATCAAATATGGCAACCGGAAGTACTAATTTACTTGAGGTCACATTCTATTTTTTTCATATAATTTAGGTCCTTAGAATTGGATAAATACAAAATTTTATACAACGCTATTAAATCGTGAAGGATAGCTAAATACAAAATTGTTTAAACTAAATTGGTTATATAGTTTACTTCGATGTAAGGTTTCTATAAATAAATCTTTAACTACAGAGTGTCTCACGTAACTGGTTCGTTAGAACTTTTTCAGGTTCCACTATTCGTACAATTTTGAAATTTTGGTAGCATGGGTTGTTCATTCGGAACTTTCAATCTAAAATATTTTCAAGATGGCTGCCACTTCCGGTCTACCGGAAGTAGACCATAACTTCGTTATTTTAAATAGAATGCTATAGTTTTTATTACACCATTTAATTGTACGTAAAAAAATAGGTTAACTTTGATAAAAGTTATTGGTACCTAGCGTTTTTCGTTTTCGAGTTATTTTGGTTTTAAACTTTTTTTGGTAAATTTCACCATGCTCTTTAAAACTCCATATCTCAGCCAACGTTCATTCAAAAAAGGTCTAAATTGGTACGATTATTCTTCAGATGCTGTCAAATAGATTGTCATTTGTTGTATCGGAGTATCTTATACAGGGTGGTCAAAAATTGAATTATTGTTTCTCCATTTTCAATGGCGAGAAAGTAGAAAATTTTAAATGGAACGCACCATGCTTTTTTAGCCTATCAGAAAGGGAATTTAATTCTCTATAAATTATCTACGTTGCTTAACAATATGTGTTTCTTCTTGTTCTGTTTCAGACCATTCTTCGTCATCTTCATCTTCGTTGCATCCTGCCTCATATAGCTCTTGTTCTGATTCTTGTTCTTCGTCATATTCATCTTCTTCTTCGCGATCTTTTTCTTCTTCCTGGTCTTCTACATTGTCTATTATAAGTAATCTTTTAGTCTCCATACTCATCTTTTTATGTTTTCTAGAAATGTGCTGTTGAAAATTACTTATAAATGGATGTGAGCTGAGTAGCAGTCTTTTAAATAGATCTTCATTCGTATCCAGTCTACTACATTTCCTTGTGTGGCTCTCTCTAAATTTTCAGATTTTTTTGTTATTAGCTTCTTGCGCTTCTTCCGACAACTCTCCAATAGGTAGTAGAGGTTCTTTAATGACTGCAGATCCATGTATCAAAATTTTATGAACGCTGGTTGGCATATAGTACCAACCATAAAATGGACGTACTTTTCGGCAGTTTTGAAACAGTATTTATCAAATTCATTGCAATTAATATTGTACCCACTGTTTAATGAAATCTCTGATGATAATTTAGTAAAAGTACGTATAAATCAGTCACCTTCCAAGTTCTAATTTTTAATCTATGTATATGAAATGTGAAGCAGACACACAAAAAACCCAATGTATGCATGGAGACTAGACAAATCAAACTTAAAACCTTCTAGCTCTACCGTTCATCAACTAACACTAGAAACTTTCGGGTTTTGCCGTGCGTCTTCTAAGAAAAGGTTTGACGTTTCGGATGTCATGTTGCAACCCTCTTCAGAAACACTTCGAACCAGTTTAGTTAGTTAAGAGTTAGTACCAGTTTTAGTTCTAATTTTAGTTCAATTAACTCCGGCCGTGAAAACCTTCGCACTTATAAAAAAAGTAGATATTTCAAGTGGTCCAGTTTTTTGCCGCACTGTATCTAACAACCACTTCTGGTTGTTAGATATGCCTGAAACTTTAAGTCTGGTATTCTATTGCTGTTATGCGGGTTTGCACCAAATATACGAGATTTATCTTTTAAGAAAAAGAATATAAGCATTTTATATGAAAACAGTCCAATAACACACTCAGGCACTGATCATCTTTGATCGCTAATATCTTGGTAAGGAGCAAGTTAAAGCAAGATGTGGTTATCATGTTATATAGAGCACATCTCAAAGAATAAGAATATTCTAGCGACAAAAGTTCTTCTTGCGTCTTCTGTGAGATATATGTTAAAACATTTGGTTGTAACTTCAAGTAGGTGTTAATTAGCTTTAAAAGAAGTGCTTATTACGTATTTCTGCAAAAATATTTTAAAAATTAGAAAAGTGCCAAATAAAGACCTTTCTATACTGTTCAAGATAGCAACAACGCATTGTCTTGAAAAAGTGGAACACAATATATTTTCTTCATCTAAAGTTGTAGTATTTTATGATATTTAATACACAAAAATTGTAGTACTATTTTATTGCGTACAGTTGGCACTAGAAAGTACATAAGACTTTATTCCTTTCACCTCTCAGTGTATTAGGACCTAAAGTACATGTAACATGTAAAAAAAAACGAAAAAAAAAAATTTCGAAAATTTGATTTTCGTTCACATTTTACCGCTTGTGGACCACTCTGTAGCAGTACTACGATCTGCAACAAAATCTATAATGTTTTCTTCTAGTTCAGGTGTACAAACTGATCTCTGATTCCCGTTATTCACATACTTTTAGAAATGTTTTTATCAGGTTGCCTGAGCTTGGGAAATTTTTTGCAATATCATCTTGCCGCTGCGTTAACAAGACTTTTAAAGCCCATCTTAGCCATATTTGAGTTTAAATACAAATTTTTACAAGGATCGACATCATTTTTACACTAGTATTTGTGATTAAAATTATGCCAAGACTTACAGAAACACTCTGTATAGTATCCAGCTATAGAATTGTAGCAGTAAGAGCAATTAGAAGTAGAGCAACGATACCAAGACAAATTATAAAGGAGTATTGTCAATGCCCCTGGTATTATAGAAATAGTTAGTCAGGCCATCCATAATGGTTGCCATGATTTAAAAGCCATCAAAATTCTCAATAATATGAACCAAATCAGAAAACTCAAGAGGATCAGACTCTGTTTTGCTTGTTCTATTTCCAGTTTTTGTTCATAACAATCTACCCATCTTTTCAGTATTTCATGCCTCTAATTCCTGCCTCTCACTTTTTCGGGTTGTTTTCTTCCTTCGTCCTTGCTCTGTACTCCTCCTCTGTTTCTTTGGTTCTACGGTGCTGCTCTTCTATGCACTCTTACAAAGTAAAAAGTGACCTCTGATTCACGTTTTTTACATACTTTTAGAAATGTTTTTTTCTATCAGGTTGTCTGCGATTGGAAAACTTTTTATAATATCGTCTCGCCGCTGTGTTAGCATTGCCTAAACACTCACCCAACCTTAAGACCATACCAGTTTGCTCGCTAAAACTGTAATTATTTGCCAAGTAATTTAAGTCAGATACATATAAGTATAGAAATTACAATAGATTCCAGGGCCCTTTGTTAATTCGTTAATAATTCCAATAGATATTGGCCTAAAGTTAGAAGGTTCGTATTCTGGTCTTTTTTTGTGTATAGGAACAACTTTAGCTGTTTTCAGGCAGTCGGGAAATAAGAATGTAGATATGCACTAATTAGACTGACATCCCTTCATCCCGCCAACAAATAGACATTCCTGCACAAGATGTCGTTTTAAGTGACGCACGTCTAAACCCGAATGTTTCTAGTTCTACGTCTATTGTTAGTTCTAGTTTTAGTTTTCATTCAGCGTAAACTTTTGCTAACTTAATTTCTAAAATAAACATTTATTACCAAAAATCATGAATACACCTTATGAATACGGAATGAAATTGAGTGTATGCCACTTCACTTAATTTTTTAATTAATATCGTAACAGTTAATAAAGATTACAGATTTGATTAGAAACGTTAACAAAAGCTTGCACCGTTATGAGAAGTCCGATACAATAGAATTTCACCCCAAATGAAACCCTCATACCTTTAAATTAAAATCGTCGCCCTTCTTCATCGAATCGCGACCCTCCTCGTTTAAAGTTATAATTAATAAAATTCTCACACGTTACCACACTGCGCGAGAAGAGATGATTCCATTCTCGATCGGTTTTATTAAAAAATACGAAAAGGGGAGGCTCTCATCAGACCGCTTATTAAATCGCGTTCCGCTTTCCCCGATAATAACGGTAGTTATTATTTGTATTTTTTGTTTGCGAAAACCGGGACATCACTAAATTGACTTTACATCACACCGTCTTTTTGGGTGCCGTCTCGTAGATTAACGTTCCGTATCTTATCCACTTAAATG